CGCTCTTCCGATCTCCCCAAAACCCCAAAACCCCAAAACCCCATAAATTTAAAATTTTGATAATTATAGAAATTATATGGAGCAAAAATAAATGAATTTATAGCCTACAATCAATTATCAGCCTATTAAAGTAGATAATCCTACCCAAGATATCTTCTACAGACCTTCTATACTTTCAAACTCAGATTTAAAAAAATAATCCTCATTTATTTTGAACAATAACATTTAAGCAAACCCCAAAAAATCAAAATCGAAGAGATAAAATATATAGACACAGGGAAACAATGTGTTTGGGTTTTCATAGCTAAGCATGAAAGATGGAGCTTCGAGCCTTTATAAAACTTCAATATCGCCTCATCCATACTAAGAGACATTAAGTAATTAGTACTAACCTTCAAAGACGTAAATGAGCTAGTATCAAACTTTGCAGTTTAATGACCAGAGATAGCAGTAAATTAATACTAGTATTGGTTTGCAAAGCATAAAAACTGCTAATATTAATAATAACAACGAGTATAATGTTCAGCAATTCCATACAATATCTGCTAACAAGGGAAACATGCAAAATTAGAAACGCTCGATGTCTAATCCTAAGGGATAAGCAAATGTGTACATGAATTCAAGGTTAAAAAATAATCTTGAAAAATTTGATTTGACAGCCAATGGTTAGAATAAAAAGGGCAGGTCGAAATCAAGAAGAATGAATCCTCATAAAACATTAGATGGAACGATTGAATAGTATGGGATTGATTAAAGACAAACTTAGGCTAAGATTTCTATTGCTCAGCAGTTTGGATACAACAATAATAAGCATAATTTCAGCTATTTTAGCAATAATGAGTAATATGATAAACTTGGCATCAAATATAATAAATCTTAACTGAATAATCAGATGGTTACAAGAAAAAGAGACAGATCAAATATATTAAATGGAAACTTGATTAATCTAAATGGAATTAACATGGAAGGTTAGATTATCTCTTAAGCATAAACTGCATAAGGAACAATATATGATGAATATACCTAGATGTATGGTAATTATCTGAATTAGAAACCAACTTCTCTAAGTAATCCAAGGTAAAATTTTGATATAGAAAAAATGAGTAAAAGATATCATTCTAAAAAAACTCAATTGCTTAATAATGACGCAAATGCATCAAACAATTAAACAATACTTTTTGAGAATTAATTAGAATCTAACAGTTTTATAAATTAGCAACCTCTCAAAGTTCTAAATGTAAGACAAGGAAGCGCTTTGAAAAAGCCATAAAACCTAATCAAAATTCAGACTCTTAATAAATCAAGTTAGCCACCTTCCTATACTTAGTAACTTTAGTAATTATTGGTTCACCCACTTGAAACAAAAACTCTCAGAAATAACGCTCAGTTTCAAACTAACATTCCCTAATTATCTGGTGCTAACATAATATCTGACAGATAAACACAAGGTTCAAGATTAAAAAAGACCAGAAACACTCAAGTTCCTGCTTATGAGTCCTCAATTCAACATACAAAGCAAGCCTATTCTTCTTTTAACCAAGATTAGAGTAAAGATAGACTATAATAAACACTTAATGAAGATAGCATTTATTCCCTAAACAATTATAAGGTGGGGTAAGAATTTTTAGACACTTAAATTATGAATTCAACTCTCAATAACAATGATTAAAGCCCAAACATTAAGAATTTAACCAATAATGCGAACAATTCTCTAATATTTGTTAAGGATAGCAGTGATGCTGTGGAAGAAAATAGCTTTTAAATTAGAAAGCCAGCTAATATAATGAAGCCACTGAGAAATTAAAAGAAAGCTAAGTCTACAATTAGAGGTGCATCCATTTAAAGTGTTTAGAAATCAAATCAAAACAATCCCTAAAGCCTCAGACAAAACAAAATTAATTAATCATAGAACTAATTTAACCAGAAAATTATTTCTGGGTAGCATGATCTACTCAGACCATAGAGTCAGTTAACTTAAAATCTGAAGGATAGTGCAGGTTCAATGAATAGTGCCATGACAAAGCCCAAAGATGATTACAGCGATAAACTGAATTTGACAACCCAAAACCAACCTAATATGATGAATATTTCAACAATAAGTAATAATCAAGCTAAGAGCTCATTTAACAATTCCTAAGGGGGTATTAGAATCAAATAAACACCAATTAGGATTATCAGATAGGGAAATGTGGTAAAAGGAAATCAGAAATAAGATCTAAATATGTCAGCATAGATTTACCAAACGAAATAAACTTCTGAAAATACTAACAAAATATAAACTAATATCTAAAATTCTTATCAGCAAGATTAAAGAATCCTCTACAGTTAAACAAAGCATGAAAATGTTTCAGATGCGAATGAGCTTCAATTTGAGAACTGTAAGCTTAATTCCTTTGGTAAGAGTAACGTTGCTTCATAATCTGCATCAAATCAGTTAATACTTAACAAGCTCAACTCAAACAAATCTAATGAGAATAGCAAGTCTATATACTCAAATAATTCTAACCTTATAGGCAGTAGTTTCCTTAAAAACAATACACTCCCTAATAAGTTTAATATGAGTGGAAATCTGTCAAAGTCAATCATCATTCATCATCACAAGAACTAGAATCTTGTAAACACGATTGGAAGATATAACGATGACTTGTACATTCAGGATTTGGATGATATAGAAGAGGGTGTTGATAATAAATTGGACCAAGACGAGGGTAACGGCCAAGAATATGGATTTCTGATTGAAAATGACTTTATTGAAAATTAAGAGAGTAAGATTTATGTAAATTCAGTAACTAACACAGGCATGAAAAACTAAGATTCTCCCATGAAAAGTTCAATGCTTCATAATAAATAGATAAGAGATCATTCAGCTTCTCAAATCTCCGGATAAACAGAGGCTACTAGTTTTTACCACTAGAATTAATCAAAAGCCTTCGTCCCCATTTCTAGTGCAGCAAAAAACTTTTCTTATTAATCTAACATAATGAATCATACGGCTCAAAGAGACAATTAGTCGTCATTCATGCGTATTGATTTGATTTCAACTTCATTCGATAAATAAAACCAAATTTAAGATGACACTAGCCAGACTTAGGTGTAAAGAAAAACACTAAGCAGTTAAAATGCATTACTTAGTTTGCTCTCTCAAGATGATTTTACTAAGATGAGGCAAGATATACATAATCATATAGACAAAATTGGAGGCAAAATAGATGAAATCGCAGCTTCAGAAGAGGAAGAAGATTAATACTAGGATTAATTATCTACTAGTAATAGAATAGCTCAAGATCAGGTAATTGATGACGATGAATAGGTGATATTGACTAGTTTCAGAGGCTATGAAAAGAAATCTATTGGTAAAGGCATTAACAATAATAATATGAGTGATAATGCATATTAAGATGATAGCGGAAAGCATAGTCATTAGATTGAAGACTTTGATAGTTATAATGGTTTAGAGGAGTCTCCAAGATAGAATACTAAATATATGAAATCTTGAAAATACTTTTGCCCCAACTCACTAATATATAATAACTATTTACTATTATTTAATTTAGTTCTAATTGAAAATTGAATATGACCTAGTTTTATGGGGTTTTGGGGTTTTGGGGGTTTGGGGTTTTGGGGT